AACATCGCGAACGGAGTAAGAGACTTGTAAAAATTATTATTAATATATTTTTAATGACCCATTTTTCAAGGTTATTTTTTTTTCTTTTGAAGCCGTGAATTGCACAGCCGCTGTTGGGAACTCAGAACTCATACGTAGGTATTTAATAACTAAGCGTGATTAAAAATTGGTTATTTTAAATAGAATTTGCGTGGGTTGAATAGAAACTCCCTTTGCATTCATTATATATTCACTGCATTAATGAATTACAAACTTCCAAGGATAATCGGAGTAAGAGACTTGTAGAAATTATTATTAATATATTTTTAATGACCCATTTGTCAAGTTTATTTTTTTTCTTTTGAAGCCATGAATTGCCCAGCAACTGTTAGGAACTCAGAACTCATTTACTAACTAAGGTATTAGTTAACTAAGGTATTAGTTAACTAAGGTATTAGTTAACATTTACTAACTAAGGTATTTACTAACTAAGCGTAATTAAAAATTGGTTATTTTAAATAGAATTTGCGTGGGTTGAATAGAAACTCCCTTTGCATTCATTATATATTCACTGCATTAATGAGTTACAAACTTCCAAGGACAACTGTCATTGATGTTGTCAAAAGGTTAAACTCTTTATTAATATGATTTTATTAGGTGATGATACTTCTCATTGTATTTGATAATGCTTAGTCAATGTTCATTTATCTAGTCTATTGACGAACTGGTATAATCGACAAGTTAATTAATCCTAAATAATCAGAGCTGAGCAGCGCTACTTTGAAATGTAGCGGCGCTACCGCTACCGCTACATGCTCTAAATGTAGCGGCCGCTACATATGTAGCGCGCTACTGCCCACCTCTGTAAATAATAATATAATGGGTATTGGTTTTATGTAATGTCTTCAGCTCGTTCCAGTAGCCAGCACGAAACGTCATGTTCATATAGTCCTTTAAAAATACTTTCCGGTTCGGCAAAAAATATATTGATGAATATCATTTTTATGCTCAAGGCCACATCTAGTTGGCGAGCGATCTGACAAGATATAAAAATAACAATTTACAATGAATTGCAAGTCTAAACGTAGCAAAATGAATTTGAGAGTAACTTTACTATTATTATTATTATGAAGACACATAAGCTGATAAACCACAGCTCATCTAAAAAATTGTAAAATTGGTTTTGTGGAAATCAAATAATGTCCTCATGATAATTCATGAATTAAAATTCATTTGATGCTAACCTATAGATAAAAATTTCGCCATTTCATACGATGTGCTCTGGGGAAATGTCCCCAAAAATTGTGGCGACTTTTTTCTGGATTTTGACATATTGCCAACTTTTTACCCTAAGGTAAAATGGCTTTACTATTTACTGGTCTACTGTTCTTCATGCCGAGCGAGCAACAGGCCTTCCTTCCCAAGCCTTAAAAAAATCTATGTAAAAAAATTCAAGGCCACGGCGGCTATGGCTTCGTCAAATAAAGTGGATTTATTCATTCTGGCTGAGTCATGTCACCTCTTCATTGTCGGTAAACAACATTCAACATATCTTATTGTGGTTTTTGACTGAATTGATGATACCGCCATATGTATATATTTGACTGTAGATAGTAAGTAGAATTTTATTTAAATAAATGATTAATTTGGATTATTAACCTGCTCAGATTCAACAAATAACAAAAATAGAGTTCTGAATATTCGTGTACCATGCATATAGGCCAATAAATATCGTCCTGCCGTGCAGAACGCCACTTATTTTACCGAACATTTATAAATTAAAATGCCTCACAAGTTCAAGGTGAATAAAACCAAAAGAAACGTTTCCTTCTATATTAATGTCTCACAAACCACAGTGAACTATTTATATGCATAGACTTCGAATAAAAAGACAAGCCCGAGATTAAAATTACACAAGATAATCCTGAAGCCGGAGCTCCATGCGAGAACTCGTTTAACTAAGAGCAACCAAACGCACACTCAATAAAAAACGAGTAAAATATTGTCCAAATAGCGATGCACTTCTTGCCTTTATGTGGGTCATTATAAGCCAGTTTAGCTCGGCAAACGAGCGTGTCAATGCTTTTTCGGCTCGTCCTCTGGGTAAGAAAGTGTGTCATTATTTAGACAATATGACCCCATCATTTTTTCTGAGTGTAGAGTAACGAAGAGAGCCATCGGTCGCTATGCTCTTGTGCTGTGTGATCAGTTAAGCGTTACATAAAACGATAAAATAAGTAACAATTTTTATTGCATGAGCGTTTCCCGACACCGTAAATTTTGAGTCAACTTGAACCTTGTATCAAACTCCTAGTGCAGGAAAAGACATCTCATTTTTAAACTTCGCAGTAAATGTAAAATGAAAGAATTTAATGTAAAATGAAATAAAATGAAATTACTTCTCAGTAAATCTCATCGCTTGCTTCTTACAAGTATTGTGCAATATTGTGCTTTAACAATACAGCATCGATGTGTAATTTATAACAACTGGAGCTTTGTAGTATAATTGAACTTATATATTCGAATCAGGCAATCCTGATACAATCAACGCGATTTCTTGCTTGGATTCCGTCACAATGAGAGATATCTGTTAAATATAGATACTAAAACTGAATAATATAATAGGAATGTGGACCTAAAACGTTCACAATATATATTCATCAAAAACAATTGAAAAAACGTCAGTCAAAGGACTAATTTGGTGCACGCACAGAGAAATTAACTGCAAAAATCTGTTCACATCAAGAACATTATCTTTCTAAGATCTCATGAAATGAAACTCTAGCCAAAGACGAGTGGATAAAACTCATGTTTTAAATATATATGTGCATTTCTGAAACATTGATCGTGAACGACAAGGGCAAACACATCGAACAGCAATAACATCAAATTCCTATATTATGAAGTTCAAAGTCATTGCTCAAGCTATTGAATAGCTTATTCGCAAAGAAATTTGTTCAAGTTTTTAAAGGACGGACAACAATGCTTTGAAATTTATGAAAACTTCAGTTATAAAGGTACCTACTTAGAATTTATCATGAAAAACTTCAGAATAAAAGTTATCCAGTGCATTAATCTCATTGAAAATCAAAGGCAGATACGGTAACAGGTTTTGCAAGAATAACCAGACTAAAAGTTAATAAAATTTATTTAGAATACGACTAAAGCTTAGACAACACAAAAGTTAGCTTGAAGAATGCGATAGTTGTCGATCTGTATTCTACCCAGAATTCATTACAGTATGTATAAAATATGAAAATGAAATCGATTAAAGTATTCATGGAGCACCAACACTTATAAAGATGACCTCTCCAAACAAATAACGCGAGTAACAGTTAAAAACAACACTTGGCATTTAGTGAATGATACAAGCATAATAATATGAATACATCAGCTTAAGATATATATTAACCAATTCTCACAAATATTGGGATACTTATAATTGAGTTAAAAATAGCGCTAGATTAATTACTGATGTGTATCGTTTAATCAAGTATTTATTCTCATTCTATGAAACTTCGCAAATCTTATTAAAGATAACAGCCAATTTTCGCATCACTATAATACGTGAGCAAGCCAATTCACATACCACAGCCACATTTTTAAGAAAATCACAATCCCATCACTAATTAAATCACAATCCCATCACTAATTAAATCACAATCCCATCACTAATTAAATCACAATCCAATCACTAATTTAGAGAGCTTAGCTTCACGAATGTAATGCAGCCTCACAATAGTTTCAACCAAATACGTAAAATCTTTCATTCACTTGATGAAACATCTTTTTATACTTTTTCTCGATTATGTAAAAAAAGATATAAAATTACTCAGTTTTTTAGAGTTAACAGTATGATGTTACATCAAATATGGTTCAGGTCCAATGTCGCAATTTTTTAATGAATAAGAATCAATTAAAGATAAATATTTAATTACCCAATGAAATAATAAATGCAACCCTCAAATTTGGTACTACAATAATATATACTATATACAGTGTCAAATTTCTCAATCATGTTCATAGTGCAGTCATGTTTGTACACATCCAGCCACGAGCTCCATAAAATATGTGCAACTATATATTACCGTTATGAAAAAAAATCATGTATCGTCGCACCAAACGTAGAATACAGTAACCACCACTAAAGAAGGTTGTACATATAGATAAGTTCAAAGAACTAAGGTAAAAGAATGAATGTTTGTATCTACGAGTGAATCTCTTTAACAAGCTACACTATCATAAGGTGATAGGAAGAAACAACTCATGATAAAGCAACAACTACGCAATATGAATAGGTTTGATTTCCGTGGGTGTTAATCTTTTTTGACATAGTCTAAGATTTGAGAAAAACGGGAGTAATAATATGTAGTCAAGGCCGCCAATTCCAAGCAATTACATCTCAAATAATATAGTGTAAACGTCGCGCTAAAATTTACGCGCCTGCATTGAATTAATCACTATATTTACAATTAGAAGCTTTAAAACTTGCCACCTGTTGTCAACGAGAAGTCGAGCAGCAAGGAGAACCTCGTTGATTAAACTGACGACACCTGTTCAACTGATCACCAAAATAAATATACTCAAGACTTGGGCCACCACCACCGTCACGCAACTGCGGCAACAGGTACAATCCTCTATCAAAATTCAAATCCCGAACGATACAATCCTCCATTTAAATTTCCTGTATATTAGCCTTTGAGCTATATAATACATCATCTATTGTTATTTCCTGACGAACATGTTTTTAAACCTCATGACGCGGCAAGCACTTTCATTTCCCATCAAAGATTCCAGTTAGAAAATGAGCGTGACATTCGAATGTTTGATTATAAAAGAAAACGTCTAGTCCAAGGTTGTCAGAGAGAAAATTACCTAAAATTACAACTCCTACTCCAAAAAAAAAAATCACACCAAGCCAATATTTGAATACGCATGATTTAAAAATGGTTATTTTACTAACGATAAATTTTCTGCAATAATTTAAATTTTACAATTTTAACAAATCACAGAAAGANACATTTTCTTGCATTAATTTAAATTTTACAATTTTAACAAATCACAGAAAGATGGAAATGCTACTACAACGAATAAAAATTACCCTTCACAAAACGTGTGAGTACGAAAAATAATTTTATTAACATATGACGCTTTAACTCAACGTATAAATCTATGAATAATAGCAAAAATGACATAAAATTAGCAAAGTAAAGTCGGAAATCCTATACGATCATTAACTAGGGCGCCATGTGACGCTGCTCAGTCAGAAGCCCTTTCTCTCATCACTACGTTCAGCACGTCAGGATTTGCATGTCATCTTCACAAATAGGCAAGACGAGCACTTTCTACGATTGCACAGAAACGAATTGCACAATTAGAAATAATGAAATGAGTTTGAATGGCATTGCCATTTATGGTTCCACATTAAGAGGTTGTTCGTCCATATCACCGAGCGTTGCACTCGAGGCTCGGATTAGCATGACTTGAAATGTGAGTATAGCAACAGATGTTGGACGAAGCTTTTACTTAAAAGAGAAAGGAAAAAAGTACGGTAATTTTAGAATAAATTTGTTCTTACATATCAACCAACGAGTTTGTGCCGCTCTTCTGGAGCTAAATACGCATGGATATTTCATTAATAAATCTGATTATAAAACAATGAACGAATTTACAAATAGGTGCATATTTGTCTCGCGAAGAACAAAACAACGTGAAAATTTGTAAAAAGCGATGTTATAGCTGTATTCAACTTAAAATGAACAATATTTAAAGGACGTAGCTCAGTCAACTGAGTCAGGCAGGGTCTTGTGATAAGACCATATGTATACCACCACCAGTCATACCTAGTAAACAAAATATAGATCATAAGGTTAAACATCCGACTAATAGTAATATAATCCTACTAATAGTAATAAACTGTAATGCATTCTATGTAAAATCAATTTACAAATCCGTGATTTTGAAGAGAATATAGAGTAAAAGTATAGGTTTTGACAGTGCAACGGAAATGTGACCCAGAGATGAGATTGTACATAACAACACAGCGACAGCCGCTTAGTGTAATTAATAATAGCAATAAAGGAGTCTCAACGAGGACCAATGGCTCTTATAGTAGAATATTTACATTTCCGAATAGAATTTAGATTTATTTATCTTGTATAGGTATTCGTTATCACGGTAGGTCTGCCACCAACGTCTAACCCGAATTAATTATTCTAAAAAAGTAAAAAGAAAAATCGAACGAGGCGCCATCACCTGTACTTATCAATAACAAGTAAATGATAAATTACTGAGACCATTTAGGTACGAATAGAGCAGTAAAATTTTGCACGATTTAAATTTTAGATGGAACAAATTCAGAATACAGCGACACGATAGATAAAATTATCGCCAAACACATTCAATCATATGAATTAGAGAGGAGGTGCCAATTGATAAATGCTTCATCATGTGTTTCACCTGTACAGTTTCCCCGATCCAGCATCTTCGAATGTCATAAAAGCTAGCCATATTTGAACGAAATTATTTATTTTTCATTACACGCCTCTTCGTCGCATCACCAGTTCTAAGCACCCGCTTTTGAATAAGACTATCACTCGCTGCTTTCAAATCATACGTGAAACCGAATCTACTCAGGAATTCGATGACTCCGGTAGTCAGGTTTGAAGTAGACGCACCGCCGAATTCAGACGCACGATAGTCGTAGGGGAAGACATGGTGATAGTTGTGCCATCCTTCGCCCATTGCCAAGTAAGCCACAAGAGGATTTTCTGTAGCATACATGGTTTTGTCGTATGGTTTTGTTCCGACGTAGTGTGCAAGTGAGTTCACGGTCCAGGTGAAGTGAAGAACGAATGTGTATCGCATGAATCCAGACACCATAAGTGCAGTCAACCAGTGTTCGTTCCAGAGGAATACGGGAATCAGAGTCGGACCTACAAAGCAGCAAAGCAAAACCAAGAGTAGGTAATATTTGTGCTGGAATGCAACTAAAGGATCTTCCATAAGATCAGAAAAGTCGAGAGTTTTGCCTCCACGAACGACATCTGGATGCTTGCGAGTCATCAACCATCCCATGTGAGCGAAGAAGAATCCTCGTTTCGCATTGTGTGGATCAGCATCGGTCTCAGTAAACTTGTGGTGCACCCTGTGATCACGACTCCATTCATAGATGCTGTTTTGGAAGGCCAACGTCTGCATGATCATGAGTACAAACCTCACAGGAAAGACGGCTTTGTAGGATTTGTGCGCCCATAGCCTGTGGCATCCCATGGTTATGCCGAGTCCACCAAACCAGTACAAGACGACCGAGAAGCAAACGGTTTGCCACGCAGTCTGCCCCGAGAGGACCAAGTATATTCCGTAAACAAAATACACGTGAAGTAGTGTGAACAAAATTACATTTCTCCACACTACCTGAGACCAATCTAAGTTTACCAAATCTTTGTAGATTTCTTTTGGTCTAAATTTCAACTCTCTCTCTTCCAAATCATGGATATGAAATTCGTCCGCGAAGTCATCATCATCTGCGATGATGAATCGCTCTCTCATTTGTGTGTTATTAGGTGGCATTTTGAAATCGTTTTAGCATACACCAATTAAAGTTCAAGGAGTAGGCTATATCACAATCACAGTTGCTAGATGAGTTTATTCACGTCCTCCTTCTGCAACTTGCCGGTGCATACTGGGCTGCGCGTCGCTCGCCGGCCGTTATATGCCGCCTGCAACGCTGAATCCACCTGCAGGTCTTTGGCTAAACTTGCGTGTTGTGTGAACGCAGGCAAGTGCTTTCGTGGGCGCTGTGATATGTTGCTAGTCGCGGTAACATATTCTGACCGATTACTCCCTTTATATTCTCATAACGTCTGACTGCTGTGCTAACTACCTAGCGAATTTTCATTTTTAGTACGAAATTAATACGATTTCGAATCAATTATCCACGCTCCTATTTATTCATTTTTAATCTATTTTTTTCTCTTCTTGAGCAATCAAAAATTTACAATTACTGTAACTCAGCAACAGCATTTTAGAAAAGTGCGCGCGCGCAGGAATTAATATAAAAACGAGTCAGTTCAGCTTTGTAGCTTGATGTTTGTTAGCCAATTCATGATGTAAATATAATGCTCGATGTAATTTAGCTATACAATAATATGAAATGGTATTTTATGAAGACAACATGCGTGTCGATTAGTTAATGAAGGCAATTACAACACAAAACTAAGCCGTCATATGATCTAATAAGTAAAGTCCGACCATCCTGGTTTTCTTAGCTGGAAGTATTGGAAGGTAAGATGTTATGTACATCCATTATTCTGTATTGTGGTGCCATTTTATGCTTTCGAGACATTTATGGCGACGGACACCTAATAATTTATTTGTTCAAAGCTTCTGAGAACTTTCAGTCTGAGAAATCGTGACGAGAAAGTCAAATCTGACACCAGACACTGCTCAGAATCCTGTATGCTTGAGAGTGTTACTTTAAACAGAAAAATGTGTATTACAGGAAAGTTTATATATTATTTAAAAAATTTAAAATGCCATAAATTGCAGTCAGACAGTTCTTGTTGATTGACTGCCTGTATGATGGCTTGCTTGTGGAGAACCTCTCCGTCTTAGAATTAGATGCACATTCACATTGATTCAGTTATACATCACAAACATATGTTATAACATAACATAACATAACATAACATAACATTACATAACATAACATAACATAGTGATCTCGGCGCTGCAGTGTAGGCCTGATGTGGCCTGTCGCCGTTTCTTACTTTTCGTGCCTTGTTCACAGAAGATCTAATATCGTGTCATTTGACCGGATCTTTTCATGACTGACGATAGTTTGAAATAGCCACTAGACTTCCACCGGGTTCGATATGATGCTAGGAATTCTAAGTTTGAACATATATATGAGGTAAATGTAATTACTAGAGTCCAGATTTAGTAGAGGATGTACAGAATTCTTCTATAATCGGTCTGGACAATGACTGTTGTTGACGCCGTTGCTGCCTCAATGTACATAGTAGAATCAAAATGGTATAGCTGAAACTAAATAAAGTTGTATATATGGGAAAATAGAAATTTAATAAATTTCTATTGGAAACAGTAAATCGAAGTGGAAATTTAGTGGAAACAGTGGAATCGAAGGGGAAAAATTTTACATTCATTACAGGGAAATCAAAAGGAAAAAATAGAAATTTGTTACAGTGGAATCAAAAGAGAACAACAGAAATCAAAATATGAGGAATCGAACCGGAATTATGCAAATTCAAAACCGTGGAACTTATGGCATGCAAAAAACAATGTTTCCACGTGCTTATCACATGTGCAGGGCGTGGTGAATGATATCTGTGTGCTATTTTAAGACTCGCATAGATTAATAGGAGTACTTAGGCTGAGGATATTTTTTTCCTTCTCGGCATCACACGTGTCTTTTGGTCGCCAATCTGAAGCCTCCAACTGGTCGATGTGAATAGATGTATAATTCACTTCTGCTTATGATGTGTGCACTGTGCACCGAACTTCTCCAAACTGATGAAATTTCTAACTCGCAAAATTGAAACCATTTACTTATGTATAACCTGTCATGCGGTAGCAGCTAATCAGGCTTTGTAATTTTATTTATCATCTGATGAAACCTAACTATTGCACCACCAAGACTGAAGCTCTGAACAAGTGTGTTCAAAAATACACGTCTCGATCACCGACTATATGAATAAATCACGCAGGCGTCGCATGCATGCAGAATTCAGCTATAGATGATCGTCTGTGTTGCTGGAGACGCGCTTGCTCATCTAGATTGCGGTACATAAAACCAACAAACCAATACATAACACGTGTAACTGATACACTCGATACCTGGCTGCGCATGGTAACTGCCAAAACGAATCTTGCGTCACTCGGTCCGGTTGAAGAGGCATGAGGATATCAGACCAAAGGTCAATGTATCCATGGTTTTTATCTGAAGGTCATTATTTGCTTGCTTATGTAACTGATAAAAGTCACTTTACTTAATTGCCATTATATGATAGTTATGTAACTGAGAAAATCAGTTTACGTAACGCACATCAATAACAAACTAAGCACGACAAAAAAAAAAAAAAACGGTCATCAGGCAGCTGAAGGTGTGCCGAGCTATTACAAGTTTCATATAAATAAAGAAATTGTTAATTATGTCCAGAATGACGATGCTTCGTCTAAACATCAAGCACGGTATCAAATGCAGCAATAAGAANAGAAAAATACAAATAAAAAGTTGTAGAACACATTGCCGTTACGAAAGGGTTAAAAGTTCAGCGTATCGACAATGGTTCGGTCATGATTGGTGTCGAAATGTTTGCCAAGTCGCCTCTGAAAGGAAGCCTATGCGTGCATTGATATGAGTTTTTACTATAACATAGGCTACAAAGAGTCCCATTGTCCAGTGAGATCGTGTAATTTATTATGTTAATATTTAGGAAGGACGACGATGGAAGGCATACGGAAATACCGCAATGGACAATGAAGCAGATCGACAAAGGCAAGAAAAGTAATCAGGAACAGTTCGATGTCTTGCACCAGTAAAATTTAATGTTGATTCACGGTTTAATATTTATGAGAAGCTGAATTTGGGTCACGTATATTCTTCCTGTGGAAAATTTCTTTAAAAATATCTGTAAACGCTCTTCTTATCGTTCCAATGAAGACAAAGAGCAGAACTTATTTGGTCAAGTTGTTCATCTCAGTGATATAGATATGTTTTTTATATAAATAAATGATTAATTTATTTGAAACAACTTCTCGTACGGACTCCTACATATTCGAGAGCTTACTATGATTCCTACAGTTAAGTAGTTTTATATTTTTATAGCTGTTTAAATCGTTTTTTAATGGTTAAGATTCAACCATTAGGCTAGTTCAATGATGAGTTTTCCTCCAACTTTCATATATCTTGAACATAATTGAGGATTGATTTGACACGTTCCGTACGACAACGACCACGATATGTCATTTGCCCTTTGCCGCTAGGCAGGCGTTACCGCGCTAGACAGCCGCTAGTCAGTAGCCAAGTGAGCCGACGAAAAGCTTATGAGTGACGTGATGGCGCTAATACCTTCGTCGGTGCTGCGCCAAATCTTAGTGATCTTACCAAGTAAAGTTATCATCAGTTAGCCTATGCGCTGTGCTGTAGCCTTGGGCTTGTAGCAGTTGTAACTTGTAGAGTTGTAGCCTGTAGGTGCTATCTGGTATCTGTTACTCCAGGTGCCGGTGCCGCCAGACTGCCAGTTTCGGGCTACATCGCCTGCAGGCGCAGGCTGCATCATCCTGCGGGGCTCCCGGGCTGCGTGCATAGACGCGTTTTCAAAGGTCCCTGAATTATAATTAGAAGAAGATGGACCAAAGCATGCCAAATATTGGAATTATGTGGATTGATTTACTGTTTGCATGAATCTAACTAGATTGAGTTTTGTATTGAGTTCTGAACAGACTGAACTTCTGATTAGGCTAGTGATAAGCACTTATGTTAGATTGTTAGGTATTTTCTGAATTAACTCAGAAGTAGTGAAGTACTACTCTACTAGTGAGTAGTGACTTCACTGACTGGGCTACTACTCACTGACTAGTGTCTAGTGAGTACTGAGTAGTGACTACTAACTAGTGAGCACCTAGGTACTCTTTCAGACTGGGAACAGACCCCAAGTGGAAATTTCACTTTCCCAACAGGCTGACACAGCACTCGGGTACAGGGGTACTAAATTTTTGTACATGCACTGAAACTACAGCAGTTAAGACTTAAGATGGGATCAATCAATTGAATGACTTGATCAATTTATAAATCAATGATCAATGGTGTAGCTTTAATTTAATTTATATTCAAATTCAAAGATGAAATATTAACTTGTGGTATCTATTCTATGCTAGCGTAATAAGCGTTTTAAAATTTGTCGTATTTGTTGACTGTAAAGTGAAGTATAATTGGAATATATGGTTATTTTATAGAATGCCAACTATAAGGCAGAAAAAATACAAGGTCCCATTTACCTTTGATGCAAATAAAATCTCATTTGGTGCAGCTCCAGCATCTTGCCACTTTGACAGCTTGAAGCTTCATCTTTATGTACTCACATTTGTGGTTTCATTAATTTATTTGCAGTCAAATTAGTGATCAGACAATTGTGCTACGTAACCCACATTATTATTCCTTTCCCCTTATTGCCCAAATGTGTGATACTTTGACAATGATTATAAATGATGCATTAACCCTCTACTGCCGAATGTCACTCTTCTCCAGGAACATAACTTTCAACTTAAATTATAGCGTTATACTTAAACTATTGAGTGTAGCAACATGAGGAAGCTTGTATGCAACAGAGAACATTTTAACATGAGGAAGCTTGTATGCAACAGAGAGCATTTTAAAGTTGTATGTGGTGGCAACCATCAGTGCAAGTCATTTTGGGCTCACAAAAACATTTTCTTTTTGGGTAGTAGGCTTGTGCCAATATTGCTCTGGTCACTAATGATGGTAGAGGGTTAATATAATTTTCATAGCCCATGAAACTTACAAGTTAACATTTTACTCAAAGTCTGACAGTGCTAATGATAATAAATTTGTGAGAAGGTCAGTTTCACTAAAGAAAGTAGGAGCCTATTTTTACAACACCTCTCTTTAACTTCACTTCTTGTTTGTTTGTCTGTCTGCTACAAATCTTATAATCAATATTTG